AGCTTTCCAGGTCCCTTCCAACTCCTGATGTCCCACCGACCCTGGGAGTTTTCCCTGCTGACCACCCCTCCCTCTTGCAGCACATTCCTAAATTATTAAAACAGTTTGAACTTGCACCCCTATAACCAGGGCTGTGGCCGCAAGTTGCAACCAATGACCTTAGTAATAAAAAAAAAATGGTTTCTTGAAAGAAATTCAGATGTTTGCTTCCTGCAACATCCCCCTCCTCCACCTTTAAGGGGTTTTATTTCAAAGCTGGAAGTTGCTAGGTGAAAAGCTGCAGGGAAGAGAAGGGAATAAAGTGAAATTAAGTCCCTGCCAGCAGAAATCTCCCCAGATCAATCACCCATGCTCCTTCCATTACATTTGAAAAGGAATTAATTCTATTTAGAGGAGAAAAAAATGAGAGGAAACAGTCAGCAAGAAACACCTTTGGGCAATTCCCGGGGGGAAGGAGAGAGACAACAGTGAGAAAGTGCGATTGTTCCTCGGAAAAAGGGCTTTTGAACAGTGAATTACTGGGGATTAGGGAAAGCTCTCAGGAGGGGATTAAGGTTTCGCTAAAAATCTCCCTTCTCTCTCTCTCCAAAGGCGCCTTCTCCTCCCAAGCCTGGGCCCACCAAAGGTGAGACCGCACCGGGTTGCTGGCCAGGGACCCACAGCCCCTGTGGCTTCGTGGCCCTGAAGTCGCTGGCCTTGCTTTTCTCCCCTATTTTAAGAAGGGAAGGGGGAAAAAGGGACCTCTCCATTGCTTTGTCCCAGCTCATGGCCACCAATTGTGATGTTTTTCTGCTCCCTGAGGAGCAACAAGGACCGGAGCATCAGTTTTAGGGCAATTTTGGGGGAAAATAACTCCTGTAAGGGCTGAGAGGCGCTCGGCCCCTTCCCCATTGCCCTGCTCAATGCAAATACAGCGAAGCCATGGTGAGGAGGGGAGCTCAAACCGACGAAAAAGTGGATGCTGCGATGGGAGAAAGGAGTTTTCCTGCCTTAAACGAGCAGAGACGCAGGGACTGCATGGGTTGTGAAGACTCAGCATCAGCCCAGAGATGGGAATCATCCTCATCCTTCTCCTCATCCAGCGCCGGAGAAACCCTTTGGTGCGCTCGCCATGGGCCAAAGCTTGTGCTGAAAAAGCAGAGCCTCATCTGAAGGAAATTAATTAAGTATCCATCTGAAGGAAATTAATTAAATATCCTAGTGAGAACTCCTACAAGAAGTGAATTATTGGGGTTTAACGCGCAGCCGCCTGCCCGCAGGAGCCCTCCACTGCATCCCAGCTCCTTGCTGCAGCCTCCCCAGTCTCAATCTTCCTCCTGCTCCCATGTCAGGAGCATGGGACAGCTCAGAAGCCGCCGTCAGCCACGTTGTGTCCTCACAGGTCCCTTGTGTTGTCGGTGGGGTTTGCGCCGCATCAGGGTGTGCAAAATCCCAATGGTGAGGAAGGAGCTGGAAGGGGCACGGCTGGGCAGAAAACAACGGGGTTTGGGACAAGTTGGGCTTTTGGATGAGGTGCAAACACGGGGCACAAACCACGTCAGAGGATGGGGTACAGCAGCACCCCCTTTCCTTCCAGCTGCCTCACTCCTGGTTACCCCACGCTCTGCCTGCAACTCCCACGAGCGCATTCTCTGCAGGGGCTTGCATGGGATAGAGAGAAACAGAGCTCAGCGCAGGCAAAGAGCATCCACCAACCCCAAGAGATCACCAAGGACCACGCCGGCCTTTCCAGCCCCGTTTTCAGCTGCAAAGACAAACAGCAGCGTTAGGAAAGAGCTCAACCCCGCCGGCGTAACCGGGAACTTCGTACCCGTGCGTACACAGCGCTGTGCAAACCCTTTGTAAGTCTGAGGTCACAGGAACAAACCCCTGTGTGCGCAGCCCCCAAGGGAAGAGATTCGAGCTCGGCTTTCCGAATCCCGGTCTTGTTGTGGTGTGGTGCTGCGTTTCCAACCCGCGCTCCTGTTTTCTCAAGCTGCTCCTCCTACGCTCCCCAGCAGCAGGGATCGATCGGTGCCGACGCAGGAGCAACCCAGGTGCCGCAGGTTTGACGGGTACACAAAGTCACGCTGCGATTCCTCCCGTTCCCTCACTGCCCAATCCTCCCCTACCAATAAAACCACTTTAAAAATAAACCCCAAATAAACCCCAAACCTGAATGCTAACGCTCAGCTAACAGCGCTGTGCTTGCTAGAGGAGAGCAATGGGTAAAATTCAATGTACAGAGCTGCACCCTTGGGCATCAGCACCCTCAGGGGGCAGCTCCCACTGCCTTCTTCTATACCATGGATCCAGATGAAGCAGAAATAACCACAGAGCTCTTGGTTTACCCTACAAATACCTGAGAATCCCTAATTCAAAGGACGTTTCCAAACGTTTCCTCAAGCGTCCCATAGGTTTCCCGTCACGAGCCCGGGGAGGCCGCACGACTGCGAGAGGGAAAGCAGAGGGGACAAGGGATTAATGGCAATTAGAGAAGGGAACTCAATCAAGGGAGGCAATCAAGGACGATACCGTGGAGTGCAGGGAGACAGATGGTTGTGCGCATTTATTTTTCCTTTGATAAAAATGGTATGCAAATTACACAGCCATGGAGGCTCCTGGGAAAATATCACCCTGCTGGTCCTCGGGGAGTTTCTTGGGAAGAGTCGTAACATTCAAACACACCAAAACGGGGGGGGCGCGGGAGGGGAATGGAGGATGGATCTAAACCGGGAAGAACACCAACTTCAACGTTTTCCAGCGAAGCGAAAAGATCCTTAACTTGCTTTTTTTTTTCTTCCCAATTTCCTTTTTTCTTTGCTTGGTGTTTTTACATTTTTAGAGAGGAGCCCAGCGAGCACAGGAGTCAACCAGCCCCTACACCACCGCGCGAGAACTCGACTGCTCGGGCGCAAACGCCCCTTTCCAACACCTTCTCCTGCATCAGCACCTTCAACTCAGGTTCAAGAGCAGCGAGCCTGACCCCTGGAGCCATCCAAGCGCCTTTATCCCACCCTAAAATCATACAGAGGCCATACTTAAACGTTCTCATAAGCATTAACCCTCTACCAGGGCGTCAGGGGCGCCTGCGTGCAAGGGACGCGGGCTGAGCTCATCCGATGGGACGTGAAGATAAAGGACATCAGCAATTTCCAGGGCATTTCAATGTTTTCCTTTTGATCCATTCCCAAGGAGATGCCGGGGGGAGGAGAGGGGGGAAAATAACCAAAACCCAAACTTGGCTCAAGTTTTAAATATTTGCCTGAAAGGAGGGGCCGGGGTGGGGGGGAGGGCGTCATGTACAGTTAAAATCAAGCTACTCAAAACACAATCATTCAGGTAAGTAACTAGAAGTATCGCCTCTACCATCTAGAGAGAGAGAGAAGAGTGTCTGAGACAGAGGGCATATTTAGGAAAAAATACACATCTGAAGTCTCTGTGGCCACGATGAGAACTGGAATCCACATACAAGCCAGTTAAAGAGCATTTCAACATGAAATCTTAACTTAGTAGGAAGGTCAGGGGTTAAGCTGTATCTTTTTTGTTTTAAATACATGGACAGCTGTCAGATATGAAAATGATCCCCCTGTGCATGTGTATGGATGCATGTGCTGACGTCTGCGGGGCAGCGTTTAGGAGTTTAGGAAGGCTGGGAGCCCAGCAGTCTCTCAATAGCTGCATTGATATCCCCACCGGTGGCAATAAGCGCCTGGAGGTTGGCCTCACGGTTTATGAAGCCCATGGCGTTCAGCTGCTCCAGCTGCTGTTGGAATCGCACTTCAGGGCTCTGCGCCTGCAGAGGGAAAGGACAAACACCTCAGAGTTGGACACCGCAGCGGGCAGGGCCAGCGGCGACGGCCGAGCAGGGATCCTGAGGAGCTTTGGGTGCACTGAAATACACCCAAGCTCCCCAGACTGCCACAGACGCCGCACGTGGTTTGTCCAAGTTCTGTACATCTGAGGAGGATCCCTGGTGCTTTTACACACACAATCACCAAATCGCTAAGCTTTTGCTTTCCTAACTTTCCTTCTGCATAACCAAACAAGATCCCTGCACTCATGTTGGCTTCCAAAGGTTACTACACCCCAAGGAAATAGCCAGGCCCGGACACCAACCTTAGCAGAGAGCACCATACCCAAGAGAAACCAGTTAGGGACCACATCCCTAGACTGGGATGGGACTGGGAGAAGCTCAAGCTCACTGTGGAGATGTCTCCCTCCCACCAGAAGCGTATCAGGATGCAGCTGCCCATTACATACTTGAGAGCTTCCTCCGGCCAGCAGCTGGATCATCTGCTGCATGAGCTGCTGTTGGGGGTTACCACCCCCAGCTGGAGAGGCACTGGCCGGCGTCGAAGCGGAGGGAACGGGGTTCTCCGGGATTGTGCTTCCTCCTGTGGAGGACGGGGGCATTCGAGGCATGCCGAAGGAGCCGAGGCTGCAGAGGAAGGCAGGGTGTGCTCAGAGGCAAGCTGGCACTTTGGGATGTCCCCGGCCAGGCCGGCCCTCGCTGACGCCCACGTTACAGGACAGCGTTGTTAATTAAACCGTGTCGTGCTCGCGTGCGGTGCTGGGAGTAAGAAATCCTCAGGTCTGCCCCAACGCACCCACCCGACGCGGTGGCTGTGGGTCTCCCACCCAAGCCGGCAGCTGTGGGTCTTGTACCGTTCCCCAGAGACACAGTTCTCAAATACAGCAAACAAAAACCGGGGGAGGGATCAAGCCGTTTGCAAACCTTGTTTCCAAAAACAAAGCGTCAAGGACTTTCCCCGTGAAGTACAAACAAGCAGAAAGTGCTAATCAGGCTGGAGCTCAGAGAGCCCTGCAGGCACACACACACACACACACACACGCACACACAGAGGCAGAAATCCCCATGACAGTGCCCTAAGCAGATCTCCTCGATGAATCAACAGCTCTCCTGCCTGCTGGTACCAGGCAAGTCAGCTCTGCCTGCAGAAACCCGCTCCGAAACGCTTCTTACCTTGGCACTAGTCCTGGGGCCTCCGTTTGCAGCGTCTGGAGTCCCTGCTGAATCTGGAGGAGCGCCTGCATGGCGCGGGGGTTGGTGAGAATGGAGAGGGAGTCTGGGTTCTGCATCTGGGAACAAAGGCAGAGAGACACAGCGGTACCAAACAGCGAGAGAGCCACCAGCTTGAAATGTGCACGACAACCAGCACGGAGCCGAGCCTCTCGTCTCGCAGCCGGAGCCAACCCGTGAGTCTGGGTCCTCCTTCAAGTCTCCAGACTGCAGGGCTCATCTACAGAGACACTCAAGAGAGTTTAGATCACATTTCCTAAATGAACTGGGTGAATCAGATTAGAACTGGGGGCACACACCTGCAGAATTACAGTGATTTTATTTGATTTACCTGAGTGAGCCAGCTGCTCTAGCACAATTAGCTGGTTTAATTGTTGTAAAGTCATGACAGTGAGACACTGTCCACACCGGGGTTTCATGTAGTTTAACCAGTCTAATTTGAAGTCTACCTTTAGGTAATTTAAATTACCTTCTCTAACGAGCTTTCCCTTTCTCTCTCCCCTGTGCAACCCCCTTTCTTTCGCAGCCCAAACCACCCAAGCCCCCACGCTTCCTAGTCTGCAGCCGAGGTAACTCCCTTCCTAGAGGACAGAAAAGCCCTGGAGCTGAGAGCAGCACAGGGCCAGACAGGGGCCTTTACCTGCTGCAGGAAGACAGGGAGCTGAAGGCGGAGCTGTTCTTGAAGCTGTGGATTCCCAGCAAAGAGGGGGACATTTACCATGATCTAGCAAGAGACAGCACACGTAGGTAGGGTCAGAGGGTTGCTGCCACTGGCTGTTAAACCCTACGTAACAAGTCAGTCATACCCCTGGCTCCCTCCCCTGCTCACAGGGACTGAAACAGGACAGCTCAGTGCCTGGCAGCAGCGTTGAACAGGAGCCATGGGCAACGAGAAGGGCCATTCCCCTGTCCTTTTGAGAGCCACCTTCTTTAGTGAGGGGCTCTGCTAAGACACGGGGTTCAGTGCTGTGACTGCCTTCAGGCTAAGGAGATGCACAACAAAACTGTCTATATTCACACAGCTCTCTGGTTTCTGCAGGAGGAACCATTCCAACTGCAGACACAGACTGGGCTCACAAGCGCTGTGCTCACGGTACACGACAACAGAACTGCACCACTTTTACCTGTGCTGCAAAGTCCGGGTTCTGGGCAAGGGTTTGCATCATGCTCCGCATATAAGGAGCGGAGATCATGTTCTGCATCAGCTGAGGGTTTTCAGAAATCTGCTGCAGGAGCCCTTGCATCTCTGGGCTGTTAAACATGCCTGCAAAGGGGGAGGGAAAGGAAGACAAAGGAAAACCACTTACGAGCCTGAGCACGGCAGCAGCGCCTGAAGTACAACATGAAACAGAAAGCAACGCCTTTACTTCATCCCCTGGCCAGCAGTGAAGGGGGCTGTGGACTTTGCTGCCGCTCTCCCATGCTCTTGAGAGATGCAGGGACATGAGAGTTCCCAAAGTAACCCTCGGACAGGCACGCAAGAAATAAACCCATTTGTGCTTGCCGCTGGGCTGGTGCTAGAGAGCACCCATGGACAGGCACTCAAATGCCACTGGAAACCACCCCCCAAAGCAGCTTGGGTGACCTCTTCAGTCAGCAGCACCCTCTGGGTCCTCTCTGGGTTACGTACCAGCCCCAATGCTAGCAGCGCTCAGCCCGAAGGGGTTGGATACGGTCGGTGTGCTTTGGGTGGTGGAGGAGCCAGTGCTCCCTTCGCTGCTGGGCGCCTGGCTCTGGGACGCAGGGGGCGTGGGGCTCCAGGGGTTCGGTAACGGCTCTCGGTTCTCCGTTCGCAAAGGCTGAGAGCTCGAGTTATCCGAATTCCCCGTCAAGGAAGAGAAAGGGTTGTTGCCAAACTAGGTGGAAAAGAAAAGAAAAGAGAAAACAGCCGTCATCAGTCAGCCCCGGCAAAGAATGTCGGACAAACCCTATCGCTGCACAACTGGGGAAAAACCACCGGTATTCATCTCGGTCCAGGGTTTGCTGCACGCACACGGTAATTTGCCTCCTGAGAACTCCGTCATCCACAACACACCTCGCTCAGAACAGGGCCAGGCTCAAGCAGCGGCCACAGCCCTAGATTTGGCTCCCAAAAAACGCAGGCCTTCAAAACATCCACATAAAACCAGCACCCGGACATACCAGTAGGTAATGCTAGACTGGAGCGTGTCTGCACGGCCTTCCACAGCCAGACCCGCGCTCGCTCCTCCCGCGCTCCACGCCAGCTGGAGCTCGGCCAGCTCCAATCCAGAGGCGTCAGGGCTTCAGCTCACACAGTAAAGCCCCGCGGAGAGCGGAGGGCCGCGCTAACGAAGCCACGGGGCCGCCCCATCGGCACCGGCTGGCACCCGGGCTGCTCGGAGAGCAGAGGAACGGGGGCAGGACCCTGCTGGGATACACCAAGCCATGCAATGAAAGCAGACGACCGGCGCTGCGTGGTCTCCTCCTGCCAGCGGCTGCGTTCATCATCTGCAGCAGGAGGGGATGAACGGCCACGCTTTGGGAAGGCGGCTCCGTTGGCATAGGGGGGGAGTGAGGGAAAGACCCCTTTGGCATGCCCAGCACACTGCACCCTGCTCACGGGAACGCAGCCGATACCTGCTCCCTGGCTGCGCTAAACATGGGCTCCTGGATGTCCGTGTACATTCGGCGCAGGGCGTTGTATCCTCCTGGAATGCTCTCGAGGTTACTCAAAGCACGGTCCTGGTTCCTCATCATCTCCTGCATCATGGCAGGGTTACGAGCCAACTCCATCGTCTGGGAGAAGGAGGAAAACGTGGAAAGCTCAGGTCCATACACATGGTGGGAGAACGGAGTAGATCGAGGGCCTGGTTAGCAGCACGGTGGTACTGTACCGATCTACCAGGCAAGCACTGAAAGAGTTAAAGCTCAGCTCCCAGAAGAAAGAGTATAATTAAACCCGTCTCACAGCCAGAGAGCAGAGAGATCATTTATCCAAGCACAGAGAGCCCAGGGATCCTGGCTCCTCCCACCCTTGCTCAGCTCTCTTCCTCCTCAACCTCAATTCAGCTGGATGACATTGTTTTGTTTCTAAGCAGTATCAGGACATCCAAACATTTAACACTCATATGTTCCTACTCAAAGTAGATGGGCTGCATTCAAAAAACGGCAAGGTGGAAGAGATTAGATCCTTCCCGTTTCAAGAAAAACCAAGAAATTCACCCTCTGCAGCCTTCTGATGGGTCTCCTCTGCACAAGGAGCATCCGGATCTCACTTGAGGAGCTGCTCCAGTACAGATCATTCACAGTTTAGTCCTGAAGCTCTGGAATTTCATGTATGGCCGACACAGTTGAAATAAAGCTAACCGAGAAGCAGAAGGAGACAAGGCTCATTCGGCAACAACCCACAAAGACCTCCTGACAAGTCCTCCTGTGGGAGCAGCTGAGTCCTGACAGGGGCTGTTTAACACTCACGCTCTCACCCATCCCTCACAGGGAACCTTTGGTCTCCCAAAACCAATCCTCAAGGCCATGGGCCCTCTCTGGTCTGGGATTGTAAAGAAAATGGAGACTTCTAGGATCCTGGCCTATCACTGGGTGCTTCCCACTGGTACAGGCAGTAAAATATTGACTGTACAGCTCTGTAGGTTGTAATTCATCTACCAAGAGAAACAAAAAGCTTTTGCAGTAGCTTTGCTTTTACTCCCATTCCCAAATCAGAACAAAGGAGCCTTTTACACAGCACGTCAGGATGATCCCAGCATCCCTTTTTTTGCCCAGCACATGATGGAGTCAATAGCCCTGAAAAGGGAGGTAAGAGTTGCAAGCGTGTGGGTTGAGCAATCAGTATTCACATAACTCAAGACCACCATCTGTTTGTGGGGAGCTTACAGCAGGAAGGAAGAGGAAGAGAGCTCGAAAAATCACCGATCTGGCATTCGCAGACTCATTTTGGAGAGCAGACACCGAAGCTGGTCCACAAAGATGCTCCTGAACACGCTCTAAACAGGCCCTGCCCCGCTGACTCACCTGCCTCATGAGCTCCGGGTTATTCAGCATGTGGCTTATCTCTGGATTTCGCTCCATGAGCTGCTGCATCTGGGGATTGGCCATGATCATCTGCCTCATGAGGTCAGGGTTGGACATCATGTTCTGCACCAAAGGGTTCTCCATGATCTGAGAAAGCATCTCCGGGTTGGACATCAGCTGCCGCTGCATCTGCTGCTGGAGCTCCATGAAGTTGGCAGAGCCCATCCCAAGGTTGCCCAGCCCAGTGATGCCACCGAAGCCAGCTGGAGGGGGAACAACACACGGGGAGAGAGGCGTGAGTCAGTAACTGTCGGCAGCTGCAAAAAGAGGACAAGCACATCAGCTGAACGGCCCCTGCGCCAGTCCAGGGGTACCCCATAATCCTACAGCAGCCGGCTCTGAGGCAGGACACCCTCTAGACATGCTTCACTAAGGACTCTGGCATTACCCTGAGCAGGGAAACTGAGGCACGCCAGTGGAAATGACTCATGCAAAGCCTCCAGCAAGCAGAGACAACAACAACAGGGGTCAAAAACCCCATTTCCCAGGAAATTCTTCTTGCATGTCATGCTCTCAGAGCTGTCGCTTACACAGGATGGTTGCAGCACTGTTGGGGCCTCCGTCTCCAGCACCTCCCATGGTCCCCGACCCGCTGCTCCGTCTGCTGCCGTTCCCTGCGTCAGAAGCGGCGCTGCCGGATGTGGAAGGCTGAGATGGGGCAGCGGGAGAAGAAGGGGTTGCAGTGGGGGCAGAAGCAGCATTGGGGGCAGAAGCAGCAGATGTTGAATCTTGGACCCTGCAAAGAAACAACCAAAAAAAAAGTCGTTAAACTCTTGAGATTTGGGGAAAAGGAGCAGAATCCTCCGTGGGGGCACAGGAGGGTGCAGCCCACACTGACCAAGCGTCCCTTTGAGCCTCTTGTCCCCACAGCAGCCAGTCCTGGTGGCTTCCACTCCCGCCTGCAGGGATGCACAGCTGTGCTCCCAGATGCCTCCCATCTGCTGGAATCTGCCTCCCATCCCAATGCATAACAGCCCCCGACATTTTATCCTGGCCCACACAAAGCGGCTGGACTGGTCTTACCCTGAGCTGTATCGAGCTCTTCCTTGAATCTCACTGAACTCTTTACCTCAGCCATATCCTTGAGCAATGAGTTTGCTCCAAACAGGAAAATCCTCCTGCTGCTCCCACAGAAACCACAGCAGGGGTAAACAAGAATCTGCCTTGCTGCAAATCCTCCCATGCACTGAATATGCCTATCAGTGCTCCTGGGGGCAAAAATAAGTACCAGCATTACTGTAGAGATAGGGAAACTGAGGCATGAAGCAGCTAGCATCCATCCTGTGAAGCTACAGAACGTAGAATGTACAAAATTCACCTGAATCACCTCCAATAAGAAACGCTGCTGCGTCACTGACAGGTAAATAAGAACGATTTCTTGAGCATGTTTTTTTCCAAACCAAGAATGATTCCCCTCCCTAAGTCCCTTTTCCTTTATAACTCTCATTCCAGGACTCTAAAAAAATCAAACCTGAAGGTCCCTGTCCACTTTTCTGAGTGCTGCTGAAAAGAGAGTGGGGAAACGATGCAAATAGGAAGCTGAAGAAAAAAGGAAGGAGGAAGCTGGAGAAAGGTCACTTGGTTTCTCAGCACAGGAAGAGGCTGTAATGTCTTCAGTAAGCACTTATCTATGGTTATTAGAGAGGAAAAAAAAGAGCAAGCCAGGCCAGCGCTGTCATTTACCCTTTGAAATGGCTCACAAGGACTGCAGTTTGCTGTGGTAAACAGCATCAGCCCGTCTGGCTACCTGGAGATGCAGAACCCAGACAGAGGCCTCCTGCAGAAGCTGACAATACACACGCTTGGCTTTTATTTTGGGGAAAAAAGAGCACTAATCTTGCCTAAGCCAGTACAGCAGCTCTCCCGAGGGACGGCGGAGCTGCACAAAGAGATGCAGCCCCGCTGGTTCACCAGGAGCCCGAGCAGCCGCCAGCAGGGAGCCCGAGGAATGGTTTCAATGGGGGTTTGAGACCGACAAGATGTGGTGCTGAAGTACAGCAACAGCTCCTGAGAGCCTTCTGCACCCACTGCTCCACTGGGCAGTGCTGGAAAGAGCCCTGTCCTGCAGGACCCTGCAGCCAAATCCTTCTCAGGCTGAGCTGCACAGGATGGACACAAGCTCCCGCAGTGGGAACAGCCATGGGGGGTGCCTGTGGTGCTGTACTTGAGCTCACAACCACACATGGTTCACCAGGAGCTCGAGCACCCGCCAGCAGGGAGCCCAAGGAATGGTTTCAATGGGGGTTTGAGACTGACAAGATGTGGTGCTGAAGTGCAGCAACAGCTCCTGAGATCCTTCTGCACCCACCGCTTCACTGGGTACCGCTGGGAAGAGCCCTGTCCTGCAGGATCCTGCAGCCAACACCTTCTCAGGCTGAGCTGCACAGGATGGACACCAACTCCCACACTGGGAGCAGCCATGGGGGGTGCCTGTGGTGCTGTACTTGAGCTCACAACCACACATGGTTCACCAGGAGCCCGAGCAGCCGCCAGCAGGGAGCCCAAGGAATGGTTTCAATGGGGGTTTGAGACCAACAAGAGGTGGTGCTGAAGTGCAGCAATGGCTCCTGAGAGTCTTCTGCACCCACTGCTCCACTGGGCAGTGC